CTTTCTCCTGGGCTGTCGCTGCCCATGGGGTGCCCTTGCCAGCTGGCAACCTTGCCTGGTGATCTTGCCAGCTGGTGACCTTGGCGGCTGTGACCTTGCCAGCCCGTGCCCTTGCCTGCGCGGCTCCCGCGGCCGTTACCCGGGGCCTCTGCTTGGGCCCCCTGCACGGTGGCCGGCCCTCGGCAGGGCTTCCACCCGGTGGCCTCTGTGCATTGTCACTGGCCCTGTCACTTCATCTCAGCGCTCACACTGTCCCTGCCAGCCCCCCACGCCCCCCACGTCCCCCACGCCTTCCCGCTGCTCACTCCCCAAGCCCTGGTGCCAGCCCTGCCCCTGGCTGACGCGGCCGGGCGGTGCCGGGTGCAACCTCTGCCACAGCTGCCCCTGAGGCCTGCGCCGGCGCGGGGAGGCCGCGGGTGTGGGCTGGACTCCCCGAGTGTCCAAGCACGGCCGCCTCCCTCCTCTCGGCCCCGGCGGCCCCTCTGGAAACATCGGGGCTGAGCTGCTCGTCGGGCCCCTCCCAGTCTGGCACTGCCGACCTGGCCTCAGAGGACGCCTGGCGATGCCCCCTCCAGGCCCCGCTGACCTCTGACCTGTCGCCGGGCACTGTTCCCGCCGATGCAGCCGGGGCCTTGCGCCACGCCTGCCTGGGGCCTTTGCCCGCGCCCCTCGGCGTGGCTCCCTCGCCGTCCCCGGACAGCCCCTCCCCGCGCTATTTCTGCCCGACCGCCCTGGCCCCGCGGTGTCCGCCGGCCCGGGCAGGCTCCCGGCAGTGCTGCGGGGGGCGGCTGCAGGCAGCGGTGCACGTGCTGCGCTTGCTGGGGTGCCCGCTGCGTCCAGTTTCCAGGACTGTCCTCGGGGCCAGAGTGGCCCTACTGGGGACCCAGTGTTGCTGCCCCCCTGCCCCCGTCCCAGCCAGTCTCTCTCCTTGATGGACGGCGGGTGGCGGTGACGGGGGCATGCTCCTGTGCCCGGCCGCGCTGGGCAAAGTGCCGACCTGCCGGGCCAGAGCTGACCCGGAAGGCGGAGGCGGAAAGGAGCTGCAGGGGCCTGAGCGGTCTTGCGCGGCCTGGCAGGGCCCAGGGCCCAGCTGGTTCTCCGTGGAGCCAGCCACGGCCCCTGAGAGGGGCTCCGGCCACGGCCTGCCCTGCTGCTCCGCGCGGGGCCTCCCGCACCCTCGGTGCCCCTCACCTGGGCTCCCTGCCCCCTGGCCTCCCTGCATCTTGATCTCCCAGCACCCTGGGGTCCCCACCCGCTGGGGTCCCTGCCCCTGGGGCCCGACGGGGGAAGACAGGACTTGCGTCAAGAGGCCCCTGACCCACCCCAGCCCTGCCCACGTCCGCCGGCCTCTTCCTCCGCGCATGCAGGAGCCCCGGTGACGTCGCCCTGCCTGCAGGCCGGCTGGGAGGAAGCTGGGGGTGGGGGGGGCTCTGGCCTCTGGCCAGCTGCCGAAAGAGGAAGCGCACTTCCTGGAGGGCACAGCCTCCGAGGTCGTGGCCAAGTGGGCGAGACCCCGGTCTCGTCCCGGGCGGTGGCGGGAGGAGCCCTGAGGTGCCCGCCATGCGCTGGGCCATCCGGCCGGCGAGACCCTGTCCTCAGCCACCGCGCCCCAGCCAGCCTCCCGGGGCGCTCCCCCTCTGGGCCCCGCAGGAAGGGCACAGGGCAGCCCGGCCTGCGGGGACGTCCTGGGCGCTGCAGGTGCCGGGGCCAGGGCTGGAAGTGAAGGGGATGCGGAGGGGCTGGGAGAGAGGGTGAGCCACTGGGCTCCCACAGGAGACGCTGGTAGAGCTGGCGGCGGCGAGAAGACCGTGCTGCCCTCCGTGCGGGTCTTCAGGGAGCCCTAAGACGTGAGACCCCCTGCCCTCCTCTGGCCTGCCTGCCCCAGGGGACAGCCTGAGTCCCGTGGGGGCTCTGGATGGGCCACGGGCACCAGAAAGATGGGGATCCACTCCCCTCGCTGAGGAGAGAATGGGCAGGGCCCCTCGACGGCCCGCCAGGCCCTGAGCTCCCCGGGCAGGAGAATCAGGGGCCACGTGGGGGCTGCGGCTGGCCCCCACCAGGAGGTGGCAGGGCAGGCCCTGACGCCCAGCACTGGCCACGTACTTCTGGTGGCTGCCTGCAGGCGGGCCGGGGGCCAGGGCGGCCAGCGTGGTTGGGTCCCCCAGACGGCCCGTCTCCAGCAGCTCCGTCTCCCCAAGGCCTGGGGCTGGGCCCCTGCGTCTGAGCGTGCACGCCTGAGCTTCCACCGCATGCCGGCCCCGGGCCGCTGTCTCCCACACCCTCCCTGGGCGGCCGGCCCGGAGCGGAGAGGCGCCGGGGCAGGTGCCTGCGGCCGGACACATGCCGGTCCAGCTCTGCCCCGGGCACTGCTCCCCGGCCGCGATAAGAGGCCCGGCCAGGGTATATTTAGCAGGTGCCGGAGGACAGGCTGAAGCGCCCGGGACATCCACCCCGGGCTCGTCCTCCTGAGCAGGACGGGGAGGCCTCACCACGCTCCCCGCCGGACCTGGAAGCTGGGATGGGGGACCCTGGGCTGTGGGCTTCTCGGGGCGCTGGCACAGAGGGCGGCCCCCCAGACAGGGTGTGGGGTGCGAGGCTCAGCACGCGGGCAGCGAAGGGCGAGCACAGCCTGAGGGCCGGGGCTCCACGTCGGTGAGCCCCACCCATCGTTTCTTCGGGGTGACGTCCTGCCCAGGCGGCGGGCAGAGCGGCCCCAGCCCCGTCTCTCTGCCTCCCGCTGAAGCCGTCCCCTGGTGCACCCCCAGCCCCCGACGCACCCCCTCTCCGGCTCTGGCTGAGGACAGCTGGGTGAGTGGGGCCCCGGGCTCTGCCCTCCACCAGCTCCTTGTCGCACAGGACGGGGTCTGGGCGGGACCATCCCAGAGTCCTTGGCGCCGGCGAGTGGCCACCGGCTTCCCGGGTGCCCAGCTGCGTCCCCCTTCCGGGAGCTCACTAAAGCCCCCGCTGCCCCTGGCGGGCCCCCCATGCTGAGGCTGGGGAGCTCGGACGGCCACGCTCTCCCTGTGGCAAACTGCTCCGCTCTTGCTAACTCCCTCCCTCCTCTCGGCGCCCCCCAGGCCCGGGCCCACCCCGTGGCTCCCGGCACTCCCAGTCTGCACCCCACCCGCGCCCCCTGCCACCGGGCCGGCCCCGCCTCCCGCCGCCACCTGGCGCGCTGCGCTGCTGATGTCCGATAACAGCGTCCTGGGCCTGCGGTCACGCTCCCGCTGCACCCACGCCAGGGACAAGCAGGCCATTGTCCTGGGCAGAGCCGCCGCCCTCCCGCTGACACTCCCGAAGCCTGGGGGGCCGGGGCCTCTGGGGCAGCCGCCTCCCCGCCCACCCGCCCCCGCCCTGTGCAGAGAGCGGGTCGGGATTCCTGCTGTCCTTGGGCCTGGTCTCCCCACTCCTCGGCAGGGGACCTGGCAGGGGCAGGAGGAGGGCGCCGGCCTGCGTCAGCCCCCAGGGCAGGGTCCTATCTCTGCAGAGGCGCCTGCCCCCAGGACGGGGGAGGACGGAGCTGCTGTTCCGTGATGCCTGCAACGCCCAGGTCACATGACGCGGCAGCCAGGGCCGCTCCGGGTCCCTGGTGCCGTGTGGCCCGGCGTGTGGGGAGCTGACCCCGGCTGCTGCCCCACCCCTACCCCTGTCTGTGTGGGTCTCCTGGGCGGCTCTGGCGCAGAGGCCTGGACCCCCGCGAAGTGCCCTCTAGGCCGACCTGGCTGCAGGAGCGCCTTCCCGGGCCCGGCCCGCTCTCCCTTCCTCCGGGCCCAGGCGCCGTCGGGGTCTCCCGCAGCCCAGCCATTGTTCCCTGGGCAGGCGCAGGCCCCTGGCCCCCGGAATCCGGCCCTGAGCTGAGCCTTGCGCTGTCTGTGGCCAGTTCTGACCTCTCAGGGGGCCTCGCCCCAGGCACGAAGCCCCAGCGTCGGCCCACGTCCCGTTGCTGATAAGGCAGCGCTGGCAGCTTCCGCAGCAGGGCTGGGGCGGTGAGGCTCAGACGCAGGGCTGTGGGCTTGGAGGAGGTGGCCAGGCCCCCAGGCCCCAGACCCTCAGGCCCCAGATCCCCAGACCCCCAGGCCCCAGACCCCCAGGCCCCAGACCCTCAGGCCCCAGATCCCCAGACCCCCAGGCCCCAGACCCCCAGGCCCCAGACCCTCAGGCCCCAGATCCCCAGACCCCCAGGCCCCAGATCCCCAGACCCCCAGACCCCCAGGCCTCCAGACCCCCAGATCCTCAGGCCCAGCTTCTAGACTGACCCCAGGCAGGCCCATGGGATGGCCCAGAAGTGCTGCTGGGCTCTGTCATGGCCTCCGCTCGGGAGGCGGGAAGCAGGAGGGAATCGGCCGTTCTAGGCTGTCCTGGCTGTGGAGCCTGGAGGCCATGGCGCTGGGCAGTGCTGACAGCAGGGCCTGTACATGTGGGCCCAGGCCCAGGCCCGGACGAGGCCCCGTCCTCCCCGCGCGTGTGTGTGGGTGGGGGGTCGCTGATGTGTGGGGTACGTGGTCAGGGCTGCCCATGACGGTGGGGCCCGGCGTCTTGTGGCTGGCTGTGGTCGGGGCCGAGCGCAGGCAGGCCCTGGGGGAGTGGACCCCCAGCCCAGGACACCTGCTGACCACGTAGGTGGAAGTGACCAGGTGTCTCGTGGCACTGTAGGCAGCCTCAGAGGCCAGGTGAGGGTCCCCTGGTTGCAGTAATTTCTGGAACCTTCTGTAGAAGCAGCTTTCTTCAGCGCTGTCTGGTGGGCCCCAGGGGCCCCCATCTGAGCCGGGACCACCCACCATCTCAGAGAGAAACCCGCCCTGCCCACCTCAGCCCCTGCCCGGTGACCGGTCTGCTCTCTGTCCCAAGGACCCCTGGACGTTTCATAGGAACAGGCCCCTTGGCGGCCCCTGTGTCTGTTGTAGGCTCTGGGGGCGCCTGGCGTTCCTGGGCAGGCGGGCGCTCACCTGGACTGGCCGTGGGGGTGCTGGTGGCGGCTGACACGTGTCCCTGTCCTGCAGCTTCCTCATCGTCCTGGTGTGCCTCATCTTCAGTGTGCTGTCCACCATCGAGCAGTACACCGCGCTGGCCACGGGGACCCTCTTCTGGATGGTACGTAATGGCACGAGGGGCGTGCTCCGGGGTCCCCCTGTGGGCGGCAGTGCACAGGGTGTGGGAGGTGTGGGGACCCCCACTCTGCTCCGCGGTTGCTGGATGTGACTGTTGAGCGGGCAGGGCAGGGCGTGGAGCCTGGGGCTGGTAGTCCAGGAAGGCTTCCTGGAGGAGGGGGCTTCTGAATTGCACAGGAGGGAAGGGGGACGTGGGTGTGGTGGGCAGGGACCTGCCTGCACTGTGGCCCTGGGCTTGGTTGACTCGTGACAAGGGTTGTTGCCGGTACGGGCACCCCACAAGTGTGCCAATCCCCACGACCCCAGTCTCCAGCCCCCGCTGGCCCTTGCTCCAGCCCCCGCTGGCCCTTGCCCCCGCCTGACCATGCTCCTGACCGCCAGCTGGTCTGAGGACGGGGATTTTCCGCACCGGCGGCCCGGCTCCGCAGCCTGTCTGGCCCTGTACCCCGAGAGTGGGTTAGAGGACCCTTCTGGAGCCAGCAGTGAGCCCTTGGGGACCGGGCACTAGTCCCCAAGGCCCACAACCGCCTGTGGGTGTCTGAGGCGCCTGCATCTGGTCCCCGCCCAGCCTTCCATGGCCCTGCCAGGCCCTGCACCCGGTGGCCACCCGGGGCCACACTGCTAGGTCCTGTGGTCAGCTGGGTCTCCGTGAGGGGCTGGGCGGGGGACGCTGGCCGGGCACCCTGGGCCAAGGCAGGGCGCTGGTGATGTGCTGGCAGGGCTGCATCTCTGAGGTCCAGGCGCCACCTGGTGGCTGTTCCTGGCACTGCGGGGTCTTCTCCGAGAGAAAGCAGGGTTCAGCAGGAGCCTGGCGGGAGGGCCGGCCCTGCACCCTCTGTCCTGTGGGCACCCGCCCCCCCGCCCCCCGAGCCTGCCGTGGCCCCAGAGACCCGCACTGCTCCCTTCTCTCACGCCAGACTCCTCCTGTGTCCCTGGAACCTTTTCCGCACAGCCATTGTGGGAGGGAAGACTGGGGGCTCCCTAGATGGGGGGGTCTGGTCTCGTGCCTATCCCTGGCCAGGCTTCCTGGGGGCCGCATCCTTGTGACGCAACCCGGGGCCTTCTTTGTCCCCTTCACTCTGCTTCCACGATCTGGACGTCAGCCACAGGAGAGCGAAGTGGCCTCTGGTTTCTTCTGACCTTGGGGCTGACAGGACCTGGGGTCACCTCAGACCCTCTGCCACCTCCCCCAGGTTCCCTGACCTGCGACAGCCCCCTGTTGCCCGGGCCTTTGCCTGCCTGGTGAGCCACAGGTCCCGCTTCTCCTCCGACTGAGACCCAGCCTGCCATGCCCTGCCCCCTGCGTCCCCATCCCTGCCCCTGCTTGAGCCCCCCGAGGGCGGGGGTCGCTTGTCCCACACGGCCAGGGCAGGCGTGGACACCCCTCCCTCCCGCTGCTGCGCCCAGGGCTACCCTGGGACAATGCGGGTCTGGGCCTCAGTTTCTCCACCCGCACAGTGGTGGGGTGGGCAGGGTGGCCATGCCGGTGCCCGAGGACTCCCGCACTCCTTGGCCGCCCGCACTTGGGCCCTTTGAGGTGGGTTTGAGCTGGCTGGTGGGCTGCCGCTGGGCAGCCGAGGCCGTCGGGCCGGGTTGCACGGGAGGCAGGCGAGCCACCCGCCAGGGGGCAGCCTCGGGGCAGATGTCCCGGGCCAGGATGGAGACGTGGCCAGGTGGGGGGCGTGTTTGCCGGGCGTCGAGGGCTTCTGGGAGGAAGGGGTGCTCGGATGAGGGACGGGCAGTGAGGGCCATGGGGCGGCGGGTGCGGGCAGGGCCGACCGGGGCGGTTGGGCCGGGGTGAGGCCCAGGCTGGGCCCTGCTGGGTGGCGGCCGGCTGAGGCCACCAGGTGGCGCTGTCGTCAGCGAAATGTGGGCTCGGCTGGCGGGGGCCCAGGAGAGCCCCGAGCACTGCAGGGGGCCCCGGAGGGGCCAGGAGGGCTCGCGGGGCCTCTGAGCACAGACACGTAGGACGGTGGAAAAAAATGGAAAAAGCCATTCCGAGCAGTTTCCCGGAGCCCCGCGCCCCTGCCTTTCCCGAGCCCGCGGGGCTGGTGCCAGGAAGCGGCCTCCCCTCGGGGGCGGGGGGCCGGCCGGGGGGATCCGGCCGCCTGCGGGGCCCGGAAGGACTTTGGGCGGAACCTGAGCACCCCGCGGGTCGGGTCTGCGGCCCGGGCCCCCACACTGGAGTGCAGCTCTCCCGGGGCCGGTCGCTCCCGGGGCCCCCATTGGCTCGCTGGGCGTTCCTGAGCCCCGAGGCCACGTGTGCACGTGTGCGTGTGAGCGCGCGTCCGCCCTGTGCACACTGCCACGTGCGCGTGTGTGTTCCCGGCCGCCGCGGCCTCCCTGGTGGGCCATGTGCCCTCCGCGGCCGTGGGCACCTCTGGGCCCGCCCTGCCTGCCCAGGTGAGGGCCCGGCCTTGGCCTCTGAAATCACAGCTGTGCCCCCCAGTCCTACACAAAGGGGGCGCTGGGAAGCCACAGGATGGGCCGAGCACCCCGGGGGGATTGTCCTGCGATGCCTGTGGTTAATCCCGGAGCTGCCAGAGGCCTGGGGGATGAGGTCATCGCTGCGCTTCCTCCCGGCTGCTGGGGCTCCCGGGCCCCCGCCGGCTGGGCCCCCGCCCCATCCCCCAGCCGGCCCCGTGCTCCTAGACTCCCACCCACCTGCCGGTGGTGCCACTGGGCCCCCCTTCTGCAGAGCAAGGGCCGTGCTGTCTCCCCGCCCCGGCTCCGTCTGCGCCCCAGCACCCCAGTCCTGCACGCCCCGCTGCCCGTGGCCGCAGCCCCCCTGCCGTCGCCCACTGTTCCTGCTCCCCCCCCCCCCCCCGCCCTGCTCCTCTCGTGGTCGCCCCGGCAAGTCCTCCTCAGCCCTCAGCCCCGCAGGCGAACTCCTACACGCCCCACCAAACCCACGCCTGCCCGGTGCTCGCCCGGACCCCATCCCCTGGGCTGGACCGTGAGCCCCGACCTCTGACCCCAGGCCCTCGGCTCCCCAACCAGGGAGCCCTCCCGGCCTTGGGGCCACCTCGCGGCTTCCTCGCGGCGTGTCCCCGCAGCCTCACGCTCCCTCCGCCGCCCTCCCCACGTGCCGCTTTGCCAAGGGACAGTCCCGCGGGCCTCGCGGGCCCCAGCCCAGCCGGGGTGCAGCCCGAGGGCCCCGACCGGCAGAGCAGCCGCCTCCCCCCCAGGCAGCTGCTGCGGGACAGCTGACATTCCGTGCGGGCGGGAGCTGCACCGAGGGAATCCGGGCTGTAACCAGAACCTTCCGCGGGGGCGCCAGGCCCGGCGTGGAGGGGCCCTCGGTGACACGTGTACTGAACAAAGGCGGCCTGTGTGAGGCCCAGCTTGGCGCTGTCTCCTCAGGCCGGGCCAGCACGTCCTCAAGCTTGTCTACAACACGTTTGTGGGTGGTGTGTTGTGTGTGTGATGTGTGGTGTGGCGTGTGTGGTGTGGCGTGTGTGGTGTGGAGTGTGTGGTGTGGAGTGTGTGGTGTGGTGTGTGTGGTGTGGTGTGTGTGGTGTAGTGTGGTTTGTGTGGTATGTGTGCTGTGTGTGCTGTGGTGTGGCATGCTGTGTGTGGTGTGGCGTGTGTGGTGTGTGTGTGTGGTGTGTTGTGTGTGCTGTGTGTGGTGTGGTGTGCTGTGTATGCTGTGTGTGCTGTGTGTGGTATGTGTGGTGTGTGGTGTGTGTGGTGTGTGGTGTGGTGTGTATGGTGTGTGTGGTATGGTGTGGTGTGTGTGGTGTATGTGGTGTGCTGTGTGTGGTGTGGTGTGGTGTGTGTGTTGTGTGTGGTGTGCTGTGTGTGGTGTGCTGTGTGTGGTGTGGTGTGGTGTGTGTGGTGTGTGTGGTGTGGTGTGTATGGTGTGTGTGGTATGGTGTGGTGTATGTGGTGTGCTGTGTGTGGTGTGGTGTGGTGTGTGTGGTGTGTGTGATGTGGTGTGTATGGTGTGTGTGGTGTGTGTGGTGTGGTGTGTATGGTGTGTATGGTGTGTGTGGTGTGGTGTGTGTGGTGTGCTGTGTGTGGTGTGGTGTGGTGTGTGTGGTGTGTGTGGTGTGGTGTGTATGGTGTGTGTGGTATGTGTGGTGTGGTGTGTGTGGTGTGCTGTGTGTGGTGTGTATGGTGTGTGTGGTATGTGTGGTGTGCTGTGTGTGGTGTGGTGTGGTGTGTGTGGTGTGCTGTGTGGTGTGGTGTGGCGTGTGTGTGCATGTGGCGTGTGTGGTGTGTTGTGAGTGTGTGGTGTGTGGTGCGGGCGTGTGCGCTGTGCCGGGAACTGCAGGGCCTGAAACCTCCCCGAGCGGCATAAGCAGATCCCGTGTGGGGCCCGCTGAGGAGAGCTGGGCCGGGGCGCCTGCCCTCTGGGGGCTCCCGCCCTCCCCCCGGCGAGACGGAGACGGGGCGGCCCTGGACCGGGCCGAGGCGGGGGAGGCCGAGAGCAGGGCTGTGCCGCCCCTGCCCAGTGGAGCCGCCAGGTGGGCTCTGCCCGTCTCCAACGCGCCCCCTTCCCGGCCACGGGCTGTGGGGTGGCGGGGCGTTGGGGGCATCGGGGGCGCGGCGCCCCCAGGTATCTGGGGTGTCTGGGTGGTCTCTCGCTCTCCAACCCCCGGCCCCTCCTCTCCCCTTTTCTGAAATTGTGATGATTCGGCTCCAGGTAACCCGAGCCGCGGAAGGCTGGGGCGCGAGTGGTTGGGGACCCCCTGGGCCCGGGGTGGGCGCCCCTCTGGCCCTCGGAAGGCGGTGCCCGCGAGGTGCGCACGTGCCCGGGCCTCCCCCCACGCCTCCAGGGGCGGCCCCCCCGAGTCTGCAGCTCCCGCCAGGCCCCTGCTCTTTCCTCTCCCGCCCGCCGCAGCCCCCGGCCTGGCCGGGAACAAAAGTCAGACGCGGGAGGGGGGCCTGCGCTGCCGCGCCCCTCCAATCCAACGTGGCGGGATTAGGGCCGCGGCGCCCGCGGGACAGGTGCTTCCTTTATGCTTGGGGCGTCGCGGC